CGCTGTGCACCCATCCTGGCTGACAAGCACGGAGAGCCGCTCCTCAGTCAGGCTGGCTTGCACTCCCTCTTCTCCCTCTCTTTCTCTGGTTTTCCTCCATACACCAGCTGAGCTCTAGCTGCCAGGCCCCTTCACTCCTTTTAGGGTTTGCCTCCTCTGTGGATCTGGGGTATCAGCTCAAGGCCAAAAGGGTACTGAAGAAGTAAATGCCTGCCGTCATCAGTAAGCGTCCCCCACAAGGGCAGGGTCAGCTCCCCATCAGCTTAGCCTTGTGCTTTCTTCACTGTTGCTGCCTCCGCAGCCAAAGCAGTAGCAGACCCTTTGCAGGTGCATGGAGAGTGCTGAGGTGCACCACTCCTGCGGGAAGCAGTCAAGCCAGGCCTGGACGAGCAGTGGCACTCAGGTCCTGTGGAGAAAGACAGTAGTGTGTGTTCAGCCTTGTGTGCACACGTGGGCTAGCCCTGGCCAAGGCCAGTTTAGGTCTCCTGTAGCCTGAGCCATCTGCTATCCCAGTGCCACTTTCATCTTTAGTCTCATGTGGGAGTCTGCAGAGTCCAGACCAGAGAGTGTTCCTTGTCCTAGGCTAGGGGAGGACGTTAAACCAGAGGACAAGAGCCAGCAGGGGGCTAACAGACAAAATCTGGAGGCTGGAAAGCCTCAAGCGGAATGTGATGAGTTGCCAAACCAAAGAGAACAGAAGCGAATATCAAAGCCAGGGACTGCAGCCAGGAATCCCAGACCCAGAGAGATGAAAACACACAAGTGGGCAGATTACAACTGGGGAGGGGCTGCGCCTCGCACCAGACATCTGAGGCTTGCTTTAAAGTGTGTCCAGGGTCATGGAGAGAGGGTCGGCTAAGATGAAAGGGGCCAGGGTGGCTGCACAGAATGCTGTTTTCCAGAGGCTCTTGGTTTTCCAGGGCTGAAACTAGGGTGACAGCATGTAGTCCGTGGAGCCTTGGGGCCAGCTCCAGACCCCAGCAGCTTGCACATCCTGACTGCAACCTCCACCAGGGTCCTGCAGAGCAGCCCCCCTTTGCCTGCTGTTAAGTCAGAGCGAATCCTTAGTCAGCAACTCAGAGTCAGCTCGCAGACCATTCCCAGCGCTCTCGGAATAGTGCTTGGCTCCCACCAGCTGCAGCGCGACTGCTGCAGGACAGGGAAGATTTCGAGAAAGGGCCTGGAAAGAAGCCAGCAAAGCAGCTACAAAAGAGGAAAAGCAGGACAGGAGGGGTGTGCCAAACCCCAGCGCTCTGGGCTTGGGCTGGGGGTGGAATTGCAGAGAAAAGCAGATCCCTGTGGTACGAAGAAAACCCTGACAGGGTCACGAGACGCTCAGCAGATGCAGCCAAGCATCTGATGACTCTGATCCCAGCTGAAAACGGACTCGAGCGCACACCAGCTGCCACGCGCCTCTTCCCCGCGCCCTCAGGGTCTAATTTTCCTCCCCCTATGCTCCGCACTCCTCTGTGCCCCTCATCACCTCTGAAGAAATAAAGGTATTTTGCTCAAAAGGTGAGAAATGATTGATTGCCTAAAACAAAAACAACAAAAAGGTGTTTTCTCTCTTTTAGGAGGGCTTTGCTGGCATTGGAACCCAGGCCTTGAACACAGTAGGTAACTGCTTTACCGCGCTGAGCTGCCCCCCTCCTCCATCCCGATTTGAAAATTTCTTTTCTTTTTTCTTTCTTTCTTTTTTTTCTGCATTTTAGGGAAGGTCTACAGGGTGTTCAGGGTCTCACTACTAGATGGGACTCCTAGTGATCCGCCTGTTAACAGCCTCCCCTGAGCTGGGTGAAAATTTCTTTTCTGTTCTTCACTTTTTCCTTTCCTCCTCCCTCTCCCCTTCCCTTCCCCTCTTTCTTTTGTGGTACTTGGGATCACACCCAGGACCTCACACTGAGGCTGGGACTCAGTGCCTGAACTGCACCCTTTGTCCTTTTCACTCTTTCTGAGATTCTCACTAGGTCATTAAGTTGCCCAGGCTGGCCTTGAA